TGAAATAATTAACCCATTTGAAAGTTTGGGTGCCTCATTTTAGCCACCCAAGTTTGAAAAAGTTGGTACCTTTAATTAACAAAATTAAAGATACCAACTGTTGGGTTCCAGGGAAATTATTTACTATTTAGAAATAAGAAAAGCATCCTTTCGTAGTAATGTGAATTGTTTTAGCTGGCTTTTTTAGAAACTAAACTATTTTACGGTGTTTCCATCGAAGAATGTCATTTAAATGAACAATTTTCTTAGACAAAATAAAGTGTAATAATCAGTAACTTAAACATAAGTTCTTGCAATAAGCAATCTAAGCAAGTTTCTATCACATGTATAGTTGAAATAATTTCAGTGGTTCTTTTCTCGCTATCCAGATATTTTTCTCTGTGAATGAATAACATGGTCCTTGCTAAAGTGATGATAAAATATAACTAATTAAAATGTCTCATGTTTGTTTTTTTGTCTTTGGGTTACTCCTTTCCACGATGCCCTATACATTGTTTTGTATGGGGGGAGATGATGCTATGGTCTTGATCCTGCAGCTCTCAGACACAATGGCTGTGTCTACACTGCACCCCTTTTCCGGAAAGGTCCCTTATTCCTGATTTTAAGAGGAATAAGGGACCTTTCGGAAAAGGCTTTATTTTCCGAAAGATCCCTGTCTAGACTGGCGCTTTTTTCCGGCAAAGCCCCAGGCTGGAAAAAAGCGGCAGCCATGTTCATGCAAATGCAGCGGGGAAAATGTAAATCCCCGCTGCATTTGCAATTCCGACTTGTCTCATCTGCACCCCTTTTCCGGAAAAGGGGTGCAATGTAGACACAGCCAATGACTTCAGTAAACGACAGTTTTTCTTGGGAAAGGATATTAGGACTGAGCCCCAACTCTGGGAAATGGTTGCAGGATTAGGTGTTATATGTACTTGCACATCTCCTGTTTGGCATTTCTGGCATGTCCAAACCTCCAACTGAAGTCATTGGGAATTTTGAGTGTGCAAGGTTTGCTAGATCAGGTCCAGTGATTGATTTGTTTATGTTCTTTAAATTATGCATTTGCTTTGAATCATGTGAGTTCTATAATGTGACTAAGGGTTAAATCCCGATCACTTTGCTCATAAAAGTAAATATATTGAATATTTGTGTGACGAGTAAAATGAGAAGGATTTGTCCCTAAAACAGAAGGGCCAAAGTTTTATTACTTTCTCAAGATGTTTCACCAAGACACAAAGGAATTGAAATATTTTCAAAATATTTTGTGATATTTTTTCTTAAGTTAATTGCTGATATAACTTTGTATTCCTAATATTTTTTTAAATGTTTGCAGTGTCAGATAATAAAATGTAGAATTTCTGAACTTTTAATTGCAATAAGAAGATTGTCCAGTATGAGTTGTCCTACGCAATAGTAAATAGTAAAGCATTTTATGGAGCTGTATGGATGTGATAATTAGAAAATATGTTATGTTACTGTGCTTTTCGGAAGTAATTCCTTAATTTAAGACTCAGAAGTCTTAGTGATCACAAAGAAGTGATTTTTTATCTTAAGAATGTCTTATTTATTTGTACTATAGTAGCTTCATTAGATCAGGACACCATTATGCTAGACACTGTACACAGAATAAAACATGGTGCTTACTTCATAAAAATGACAGTCTGAGACAAGATGCAACATGTGAATGGTTAGGGAGATGGACCACTCATATTAAGAGAGATTGAAAAGGAAGGAAATGAATAAGAGAGGACATGATAATATTATATAAAATACTGAAAGAGAAGGTAGATCTGGAACTATTGTTCTCTCTGTTTTATAACACAAGATGAGGACATTTGGTGAAACTGAAAAGTGGCTTGTCCTTTTACTGTCACACAGAATTAGACTGGAGAATTCATAGCTGAACTGTCCAATGTCATTGAGTCCAAGCGTCAAAGAGGGATTGGACATTTATATGGGTAATAAGAATATTCAGAGTTATATTAGTTAATGTCAAGACATTTTTGGAAAGGATATGAAACTTCCCGCTTCAGGGTTTAAATCATTTTTTGAGTTAAGGGTTAGGATAAAGGATAGATTATTCCACATCTTCCAAGTGTGGCACTACTTTGCCTTCCTCTGAAACATCTGGTGCTAGCCATTGTCTGAGATGGGATACTCTGTAAAATAAAAGTAAGAAATTAGGGGGGAAACAATAACAATATTAATCAGATATTTGCACAGCCAGATTATTTTCAGTTGTTTAATTTATTTCATAAGATATACAGTAAATCCTTATTGGTTATCTACCTAGTGGTATAATTTTGGCAATTTCTCATAGACTGCATTGAAAAATAGATTTGGAGAGGAGACCCATCAGGGGCCAAAATAACATAGTAATCTGAAGCCTGAGCTTTTAGGGAATAGCAAAGCAATTTGCCTTCATCAGCACCCACATCCCCAAACCTATTAAACTCAACACAGAAACAGAGCACACAGTTGCAGAGGATGGATTCTCCAAGAAATTCTGAAAATTTAAAAAGATAACTCACCAATAAAAAATTTTCTTGTTCACAGCATGGAGAAATCTCTCAAATGCCAAGTGAATTCATGAGAGCCAAATTAGGCAGAAGTGTAAGTGCAGAAGAAAATCAAATGGCAATCAAAGCAGACATTCTGGAGAAGAGCTCTGAGTTTAAGGCAGGGGTGGGCAAAATATGACCTGTGGACCGGATCTGGTCTGTCTAATATTTGTGTCCAGCCTGCCATGACTCTTGGTGAGGCCAAATCTCGGATATTGCGTCTAGTTTTGGCCCCCTATTACAGAAAAGATGTGGACAAATTGGAGGGAGTCCAGTGGAAAGCAACAAAATGTATGTAAAGTTAGAAATATGGAGTATGAAATGGTGCATGGTTTTAAATGTGCAAATGAAAGCCATCAAGGGTGTTTCCAGTGCTCTAACACCTTAATGACTGGGTGATCAACTTAAGACTTGAGAACAACCTTGTTTGTCCTTTATGTGGTTGGTCTCAGAGGCTATGTCTACACTGCAAGCTTCTTGCGCAAGAACTTTTTGCAGATGAGATCTTCCGCAAAAGTTCTTGTGCAAGAGCGCGTCCACACTGCCATGTGCTTTTGCGCAAGAGAGCGTCCACACTGCCATGGATGCTCTTGCGCAAGAAAGCTCTGATGGCCATTCTATGAATGGCCATCAGAGCACCTGTGCTTTTTCCGATAGGGGTTTCTTGCACAAGAAGTCTTGCACAAGAGCTCTTGCACAAAAAGGCTTATTCCTTTTAGAAAGAGGAATAACTCTTGCACAAAAAGCCCTGTCTTCTGATGATCTACTGTACTTTTTCTTGCGCAAAAACACACTTGTAGTGTGGATGTGCCATGAGTTTTTGCACAAAAACAGCCGTTTTTGCGCAAAAACTCTGCAGTGTAGACGTAGCCAGTATGTGATCATCTCAGCTGGTAGGATACCAGTTTAACTGGGTAATTTTCCATTGAAGGTAAGCGAGAGAACAACAGAATCTGTAAAAATAATGGGATACTATCCATCCCTTGGTCTTGATGGCTTTCATTTGCACATTTAAAACCATTCACCATTACCACCCTGTTTAATAAGTCTATACAAAGTATCTGCACTCTTGTTCTTTTTGTATGCCATATAGATTCAAACATCATCTGTATTCTCACTAGTGCTTTATCTGCCACTCTCAGAGCAAGAGCACCATGTTCACTTGACTCTGATTTCTAGAACCTACAAATTCTATACTTTCCAGCACTCCAGATCTTTTTTCCATTTGCTGAAGTGTGATTTATGAAATTGTCTTATGTATACACGTGTGCATAACTCAAAAATAACTCATGTAATCTATCAATTTTAATGTCACAATCTGCTGGATCTATATATGGATATGTCTACACTACCACCCTAGTTCGAACTAGGGTGGTAGTGTAGACATATCCATATATAGATCCAGCAGATTGTGACATTAAAATTGATAGATTACATGAGTTATTTTTGAGTTATGCACACGTGTATACATAAGACAATTTCATAAATCACACTTCAGCAAATGGAAAAAAGATCTGGAGTGCTGGAAAGTATAGAATTTGTAGGTTCTAGAAATCAGAGTCAAGTGAACATGGTGCTCTTGCTCTGAGAGTGGCAGATAAAGCACTAGTGAGAATACAGATGATGTTTGAATCTATATGGCATACAAAAAGAACAAGAGTGCAGATACTTTGTATAGACTTATTAAACAGGGTGGAGGAGTAAGTGTTCCAAGTATTCTAGGGTAGTATCAATCTGGCCAGCTCAAAGTAGCAGTAGACTGGAGGTGCTCTTCTATGGGTGCTCTAGCAGCCAAGTACTGGATCTTTATTAAACAACAAAATTGCAGCAGTGTAAACATTGCTAAAATACTGTGGATCAACAACAACAAAAAATCTTGTCCTCAGGAAATATATATACCTCCTTTAGGTTTAGAATAGAATTAGAGATGAGTTAGTTTTTTCCCCTCACCAATGACATCCATTGGATATAATTCAGATTTTAATTCAAATTGCAAACTAGAAAGCTTCAAAGGTTGTGAGAGCCATAGAATATATACAATTGGCCAATAATTCTGTAAAGAATTTTTCTAACTTTTGCAGAAATCAAAA